TATATATATATATATATATATATATATATATATATATATATCATCAAATATTGTAGAAGTGTTACAACGAAATTTAATTTTAATTCCTGATGAACATTGCAAGAAATTCTTTGATATCACACTGAGAAACTCTTATTAGGCACTTACACCCCCATGGACGAACATGTGAACCATACAAACACGATGCAGTCTAATTATAGGCATCAGGATTTGCCAGGAGGTAAGCTTCGATTGCTTTGAACATAACCGATGCCTTCTCTTTTCCAGCCTTGATTTCCTCTTCCTTGATATCGATGTCACCAATGGTATAGTAACTGCAGCTGCTCTTGCACATAGACCCTCCATCATATGCTGCCTCGAATTTGTTCTCGTTGGAGATTTTTTCCAGTGCGCCCATCAAAGCGTCACCCTCGATCACAGTGTAGCGGTAGCTGAAGTTTTCTTTGTCAATCCCATCGATCCTCTGCTTCATGTATGTGAACTGGTTGCCTGCAGGAAATACAAACCAAAAACTTGTTTCAATCATGTTAATCCTGTTCTTAATAAAAAGAAAATGTTGGGAAAGGAAATGTGAACTAGTCTTCGCCAAAGTTAACTTGCTTGATGATTCCAGCCCCTCCATCTCCCTCCAGGGTAACAACACTCTTGATGGCCAGTGGCAAAATTTTTGGGATGAGGTTGTCAGAGTCAAGAACAAATGCCTTGAATATGTTGGCTGGTGGGATTGTTGTGGCAACCTCCATTTCATAAGTCACAACACCCATGGTGATGTAGAAGCTTGCAAATGATAGCAGAACTAGGAATGAAAAGGAGTGAGGAATTGATTGTTTATGAGTTATTGAGGAGAGGAGATGCAAGAACTAACTGTGGTATTTATAGATGATGAGGATGCTAGTCAGCCTGTGTGAGAGTTGATTTAGTTTTCTAATCTTGTTAAGATGGACATTGCCATGCATTTCTAACCAAAGACATTCAATGAGGTTAAAGGAACCTTCTAATGTAAGAACAAAAAAAAGGATCGGCCTCCTATTTGTTTGGGATAAGTCCTTTTCCTCACAGAATACTGTTTTCATTCGTAACAGGTTGCTCGCTAACTTAGGCGTTGATAAAGAGCCCGTGTTCTTCGCTTGGTGGTAATCTCTATAAGACCTGATGTGGAGCGTTGATGTCTATCGGGTTAGTATTGCTAATTTGCTATCAATGTCCCTATGATTTTCCCTTTCTTTTTTCTCATCATCTGGATGCTATTGTGCATTGAAATTTACTCAGATATCAGAACACAACATGTTTTGATAAAGGGCTATAAATAATTGGTTAAGGACATTTTTACAACTCTTTGTTATCATTAAATCAATATAATTAAGTCATGTCTCTCATTACAGTGATTGAATAAGGCATTTCTGCATTACCTTTCTGTACATACTGACTAAAGTGGCCCCGAAGCTCTTATTCATCTATTCTGAAAAGAGTTTATGAATCGAATAGCCAAAATTTCCTTGATGATTGATAGCTAGTTGACAACATGAGATCAGGCATCACATGCCGAAAAGTCCAAGAGATAATCAAATAAGAAAAAGAAGAATAAAACAAAGCTCAATGGTTAAAGATACAAAACTCTAAATGGTTAAAGATTCAAAACTCTAAAATGTGCTATACCTCTCTGGGTTTCTTCTTCTCCTTCTTCTTCTTCTTAATAATAAGAATAGCATACCAAAAATTTCGATCCTTATGAATAGATAAAGTATCACTACACCAGAGGAATGATCCATTGGGTCAACAAAGCCTAAGCAGACCAACTGTTCTCTCATGAAGCTGGCACAATTCGTCTGTAAACTGCTTGGAAAGTCTGTCCCCCGTTCCTAGCAACCTTCTGTCCTTCTTCGGTTGCAGTGCTCAGGAGTTTTACTGCAGGATCTACTTCAAGCTCTTCCTGTGAGAGGGCTTCAAACATGGGATGATTCTCTAAACAAGACTTCATCCACTCTCCAAGTTCTTCCACATCTGTAATGGTGTATATAATCCCACCAACCTGAAGGACATAAGCATACTCATCTAACAAGTGGGGGCTGATTACTCTACGACGATGATTTTTCTCTTTGAAGTGAGGATCAGGAAATAGGAAAAACATCTTTGAAAGTTGTCCTTTCTCAAAGTAATTGGGAATGTATTTCATCGAATTAGTCCGAACGACAGAGATATTCTGGTATTGACCAGGATTTGCCACCCTTAACCCAGAAATCCTTTCCTTCACGTACTCAGTCACTTTATCTCTAAGCTCCATCCCGATCATTAGAATTTCAGGGAAAAGAGTAGAAAGACTAATTAGAAGCCCTCCAAAACCACAACCAATATCCGCAAACTGGATTTTGGAACTATTAATCCGATCAGACGAGAGGAATAATGGAGGGTAATGAAGTGAATAGTCAACATGGCTGGGGGAGAGAGGAATAGGGAAGTGGGAGTCACTTAGTGGGTTGCTGTGTGCCCGTGCTCGGTAGAATCGTTTTCGAGGCAAGCCAGTTGACTTGTTTATAGTCGGGTTTGCCTTGTTTTCCAACATATCTTTCCTGTGCAAGCATTATTACATCAAGTTAAACCTTCAAAGAACATTGAGGGAAGATAAAAATGGAAATTCAAGTGAAAAGCGTTTTAGTAAATTAATTCTTCCCAAAGCCAGAAATACAGAAGGTAAAACACCACAACAAGTTTCTATTCCTAAGCTCCAAACCCATTCAAACATTTGCAATCCAAACCTATTCCAACACCTACTTAACATTCAAAGCCAAAATCCAAAACCCAGTTAGAAATAGTTATTCCCTACCCAAACCAGTCCAATTATGAACAGAATTCACAAAAAGGGTTCTTCAACTAGTGGGAATATAAATGAATGTTACATCTGTTCTTTAACCCCTTTTTCTTATTTCAACTAAGCTAACAACCTTTGCTTATTGTTTCAATGCCCAAACCCAATAAGTCCAGCACCGCTTCCATTCATCCAACTAGCATCAAATTGGCCTTAGCTAAGAGTTGAAAAAAATTATTTTAAAGATCATTCATTCTTTTCTGTTTCACTATTGAGACAAGTGAAAGAAAAGCAATCAAAACTGGCTTTTCTTATCAATCCCAAGGGAAAAAGAGCTTCAATGAAGGAAAAAACTTGCATTACATAGAATTCTTAGCAACCAAACAGTGGATTAATCACAACACTTACCAAATAGGAACAATCTCTACTTCTCAGAAGATGCAAAAATCAACAAGTATCAATGAAAAAGCAAACGAAATGCTAACATCAAATAAACATAACAAAGGAAGGAACTAAACTTTTTTTATAGAAACACGAAAAACCCAAATCGCTAAATTACTGGAAAAATGAGACAGAAAGTTAAAAAAGCTTAATAATTCAACGGAATTACGGAATCGGTGAAGCGATAAAGGAGCGTTCTTCAGCTTCTTCGGCTGGGGGCGGCGCCGTGGTTCAGTGGGTTGTACTTTAATTCAAGAGAAATAATCAGGGAAGCCGGACCACCCAAACGCCGTCGTTTTCCTCGAATTTAAACAATTGAGCCAATCTTACTTCTTATTGGACTACATTTTGGTCTTGGGCCTTCCAAGAGTATAAAAATCTTGAAAGGCCCAAATTCAAGCCCATAATTTATAATGTTAAAAAGGAAATTTTTTGAATTATAAATATTTTTTTGTAAATTATAAAATTTTAAATCCATGTTAATCTCTTTTAATTTTAAAATATTTAATTTTAATATTTTATAACTATGAAGTTAGTATTATTATACTCGTTTTGTGTCATTTTCTTCATCTATTTTTTCTTTTGAGACTTCTCGAATTAAATTTTTTTATTTCAATTTTTAGACACCTAATATTTATTTGTCTTTTTCATGCTAAAAATTATTGAACATTTTTATTGTACATTTTTTAAAAGTTTTAATATAAAATACATTAAAATAAAAGTTTTTGTAATTTTCATAAAAACTAAATAGAGAAACGTTCAAAGATTGATATATATAAATGTTCATGATTTTTTTTAGAAACAAAACATGAACATTTATATTGTAAAAAGATTTTTCAAATTTTAATATAAAATACATAAAAATCAATGTTTTTGTCTTAATTTTCATGAAAGTTAAAAGGAGACAAATATTTAAAATCTGAAAAAATAACTATAGTAGAAAAGAAGATCGATTCAATTACACAATCATTGACCTTGAACTCAATTTGACAATCTTTTCCTTCTTGAGATGTCCCAAATTGTTTTTATTTTAAATTTTTTAAACACCTAAAACATTTTTTTTTTATATTACAAAATTTTTATTTTAATTTTCTTAAAAATTAAAGATAAATAGATATTTGAAGATCAAGAGAAAAGTTCTTATATATAATTTATTTATCAAAAAGAATAATGACAGCATGGGTCAGATAAAGCTACTACCATGGGCCAGACACAAAGGAAAAATAAAATAAAATTAATTCTGAAATAAAGAGGAAAACAAAAGTCAAAAAGAATATGCCAAGATATCCTTTGGAGAACAATGATTGAACTCCCCCACAATGCCAAAATTTCTGTTTAGTAAAAAGAAGTAAAACAAAATTCCATTGTGAAAAATAAAATTAATAAAAAAAAAAGAAAATAGGTTATTTTCAATGAAGACTGAGTTGGGTGGTTTGGTCAATTATATTAAAAAATTAAATGGTTTAAATATTTTTTAAAAAAATAATTAAAATAAATTAAATATAAAAATATAAATCGATCAAACATAAAATTGATTTGATCAGTTTAGTTTTAGATTAATGGATCAAAATTTTATTATTTTTTTAAATTATAATATTAAAATTTATAAATTTTATCTATAATTATAAAATATATAAATTATATATAAATATATATATAATATTTTTTTATTATATGTATGAAATTAATGGCACAACTTATATGTTATAATATTTTAATTTTTATATCAAGGTTTGTATAAATAATAATTAATTATAAACAATATATTATAAAAATTAAAATGATAACTAATAAAATTATTAAGTGTAATCATATATATAAAATCTATTATAAGTTACAATATTACTTATGTATAAGTTAAATATATATATGTGTGTGTATAATATATTACTTTATTATATATAAATGAAATTAATGACATAATTTATATCTTATAATGTTTTATATCAAAATTTGTGTAAATAATAACTTATTATAAACAATATGTTATAAAAACTAAGGTAATAACTAATAAAGTTATTAAGTATAACCATATAAATTAAATATATATAATATTTATACAATTATATATATATTCATAACATTTTATATTACAAATTATCGTTAAGTTATAATAATTACAACATATTAATATGTAAGATATATATTATTATATATTATAATATTAACATATAAATTATATTATTTAAAATATAAAACTTATAATTTCATATTAATATAAATTTATAAATAAATATATAATTAAAATTAAATTACTATGATTATAATTATATACATATATATAATAAATTAATATATTTTAAGTGTATTATTAATTATGTTTACTATCAATTTTTCTTAATATATATATATAAATTAATTTAGTTTTTTGAATGGATTGATTTAAAAATTTTAAAATTGAGAATCGAGTAAAAATCAATTAAACCAAACATTTGGGATCAATTGATCAAATGAATCAATTAAACCAGATCGTTTTACTCAAATCATATTCAATTTAAATAAATAATTAGTTTAGTTTAATTTTACTCATCTTTATTTTTACCCCATAAAACCGGAAAAAGAAAACTATATTCTTTTGTTCTTCGTCTCAAAATCTATTTATAAAAAAAATATAAAGAAAGAATCATAAGAATTATAGTATAATCATTTACACAAAATAATGATTAAAATTAAATGAAATTGAGACGGAATCAAAATTATCGATCAATTGATCAATATAATTCCATTTCAATTATCTCAAGTTTTAAAATCTATATCAATCGATTATTTTTTAAATAAAAATTTGATTTATTTAATTTGTAAAAATTTAAACTGAATCAATTGTGCCAACTGAAAATATTTTAGTTTATGATAAATGTACATATTGTTTAATTAATAATATACTCATTTATTGAAATAGTAATTAAAATTGAATAAAATTTAATTAAATTCAAAATAATCAATCAAATCGATCAATAA